GGGGAAAGAGGGCTCTGAAAGGTGAAAAAGGAGGGGCGGGGGAGGCGGAGGACGAAGGAGAAGAAGAAGAAGACGAGGAGGAGGAGGATGGGCGGGGGCGGGGGACGAGGTACTCGTATTCGAACGTAAGCGTAGAAAAGAAGCTGGCGGGATTGGAGAGAAGCGTGTGGCTGAGGGCACGAAGCGGAGAGAAGGGGTCGGAGCTCTCGGTCACCGGCACGACCGTAGGACGTAACCGCGGCCCGGCGGTGTTGCCGCTTCCTAGTGATTCTCCGGCTGCCGCTTTCGGGCCCGAGTCCGAGTCCGGGCTGTTGCTTCTCGACAGAGATCTCTCTCCTCGATTCTCGTTTCTCGGTTCGGCGGGGACCATCTGCTCGCCCTCGGGCCTTTGAATCTTTAATGGTTCGCGTGACTGGCCGTGGCGGCCACGGGAGGCTGCGCGAGGCCCGGCTGTGCCCTCTTCGCCACCATGCCACCGCTGTGCCGCCACCGTCGCTTTTTCCTTCCACTTCTCTCCGTTAACCTTGCTCGTATGCCCGAGACCGGCCGCCAAGTCATGCACGAACCACGATTCCGCCGTTTCGATCTACTAACTCTGGCTCCACCGCGATCCACCGTCCCGAACGAGGAAAAGATTTCGATCGTCGGTGTGTTTTACGAGCGAGCAAAGGAAGCGACGCGGAACCGTCGAATCGAATCGCGCCACGACCCGAGTCGTCGTTTCAGACGTTTACGGCGTGTCCGGATGACACGGCGTTTAATCGCGCGCTTTTAATCGATGGGTCAAAAGTTGGAAAGGGCACGGGGCTGACGCGAACCATCCGGAACAGCTCGAATCGAGACGCAATTATCGCGGCCGCAATTATTTCGACGATTCCGCCGGGCTTATCCCGCTGACCGTTTCTCCCCGGGTCGAGCGCGATGGAAGGTTCGTTAACGGGTCGCGAACGGGAATCGTTACCGTTTAATTAAGCGCATTTTCCACGCGTTTCGCGCGCAAACTTTGTCCTAGCCGACGGAGCAACGGGCAGCCTGGCGATTTTTAAAACGCTCGAGAACCGATCGAGCAACGAACGTTTCCCCTTTCCTCGGTCCACCTTTCGTCCTACTCCAACGCACTCGCGCTGCTTCTGTGGGCCCCTTGTCCTCGGGACCCGGCTTCGATTTCGTTTCGTACACCTCACCCTTCCTATGGTCCCGTCTCTCTCTTGTCACGACCCTTCTCCGTCTCTTTCTCCCACGGCTCGTTCTATAACCGCGCGGGGGCGGGAAAGGTCGATTTTCACGTGAGCCATATGTCCGCGCACCTTTCGTCGAACGCATCCTTCGCGAGTAGGACGACGGGAAGGTTTATTCCTAGAAAAATAGAGAATTCCCTCGGCTGGAAAGAGCAGATGGCCGAAAGACGGAGGCAGGTAGAGCGGGGTGGATGGAGCCGTGAGGCGAGATCGTCGAGGAACGGACACCTGCTGCACCGAGGTGTCCTTCGAGCGTCGAAAAACCACCGGTCGCGATCCTCCCCGTGCGAGTGCAACGCGTACCCCATTTCCGAAATTCCTCTCGATTCCGACCGCGAAAGAGTAACCGCGAAACTGGCCGATCGACAAGATCGTTTATCCTCGATGGCTTCTTCCTCCGGTCGCGGAGCGTCGTTCCTAGCGGTTATTCGGGGAGAGAAAAAATTGCGCGGGGGTCGGTAGCAGGTTTGCCGATGAAAAAGCTCAACGACAGACGGCCGCGCGAAGGTTTGGCAGTCCCATGGGCCTAGCCCACGGCGGTAAGAACCACCTGCCGCATAGGTCGGTGGGGGCAAGCTGTTCTCGCGCGTTTTACCTTTTCTAACCACCGTCTTCTTCTCTGCCCCTCGATGCCTTTACCAACTTATGCTTCGTCTTCATCATGCCCTACCGTTTCCCTCCGATCCTTCCCTCTACCATCCTCCTTTCTTTCGCGCTACTTTCCTCCATCCTTGTCGCACGCGTTCCTTCGTCGTTCGTCTTCCGTCCAGCCGCTGCCACCTTCGCTACCATCGCCAGCATCATCATCATCACCACCACCACCACCACCGCCAGCACCACCACCACCATCGCCACCACCATCACCATCGCCACCACCACCACCACCATCGCCAACGCCACCGCCGACACCATCCTCGTATATACCTTGAAACGACAACCGTGCATCGGAACCGACCGGTTGTATATACGTTGCGCGCTGCGCTACGCGCGCACCAAACTGTAGTGGGGGGACGCGGCGAACAGGGGGAAGCCGACCGGTGGGGGGTAGCGCCGATGCTACGCGACCCCAAGCTCAGTCGTCGCGCGACCCTCGTCGAGTGCGTTTGCGTCAACGTTCGCCGTCACTGGATTTTTTTAACGCTCTCCGCGTATACGTTATCACTCGTTTGTGTTCACTTAATCCGAATCGTCTCGAACCGAACGACCTTGCTTCCTGCCACCGTTACAAATCCTATTTCCGTTTCGCCGTAGACCTCTGCCTCGTCTTGACATATTTTTCCATTTATTTTCGTCCCGTTTCCCTCCTTTCCTCGCGCGTCCCTCGCTATTTTTGCATCCACTGACCGTCTCGCGAAAACCACACGGGGGAAAGTGAAGTAGTTCCAGGAGAGAAGAACAAAGCGCGTAAGCGGTGATCGAGTACATGCCAAAGCTGTACGTACAGCAACGGTGATACGCGTAGAGGTGCGCGAGGACGTATACGTGCGTATGTAAGTCTCACCGGCGGAACAAAGGAACTCTCTGGCCGGACGGTTGCAACGTGGCGTTTTGAAATCGCGCGCAAACATTCCTTTTTCGTCCGTACGCAGTCGGGGACGGATGCTCGCGATGGAAATCAGCGTGCGAGCCTCGCCGTTCTCGGCGAACGCTTTGCCAGCGTGTTGAACGGTTGAGAAATCGTCCGCGAACCAGCGAGAAACCACCGGGGCACAGGAGCGACACTGCGTCGAGCACACGAAACGATGGGGTACTCGTTTCAGCCCGCGGATCGCGGAACAATTCGCGTAGGTCTGCTTTCCAGGTAGTCGCGACCGTTGGAACGATTGCATCGAACGAGAAAGATTACCCGAGAAGAATCGCGACCGATGAAGCGTACCATCGACGTTTTACCGATTTCCACGCAGGAAGAGAGATACAGTGAGAAGGAGAGGTGTGACAGTGAAACTGGTGACAGAATAGAACGAACATCGAGACATGATGCGTGCAGTGAATTGTTCGGTGTGTCTGCGAGCGTGATCGGGCAAATCGATGCGATCATCGATGCCGCGTGTTGGCAAAACTCGCGCAGCGTCGTCGATACTCGGTGAAAGTCGCTGCAACGCGGAACTCTGTCCTCCAACTCGAATGGAGCCGCGCAATTTGCGTCTCTCGTTGTTCCGTTCCACTCGAACCGCTCGTGGAATTCGTTTTGCCGATAGAATGGATAGGATTCGACTGCCGAGCACCACGGCGATTATCGCCGTTGCCTTGTTGCTGCTGCATCCCGGTGAGTACATTCCCCGGAGACGAAAAGACTCGTTACAAACACGTCATTCGCTACGAGAATCCACGTATATTTTCCCTATTCGTTCGTGGAAAAATATTCCCTGCCTTTTTGCCTGTTAAGAAAAAGATCGTTCGACGCGACGTCTCATTGGTCCGATCGGCGAAACGGTTATACGTTGAACGAAGGGAACGCGTGAAACACCGGAGTCCTTGCATGGCGTCGCGCGACTCTCGCGACGTGCCGTGTCGGTATGTCGCAGTTTGCAGCGAGTTTTGTTGCGCGTCCTTTTAACAAACCCGTTCTGGGCCGCGCTCGAGGCCGAGAAGGCCTCCTTTCGCCTCGGCCAATGGAAACTACGCGCGCGTTTTCGTACTCTCTCGACTCCATTCGAACGCAAGACTGCAGCGTGCTGTAACGAACTTGTTCGAACTTCACACCGACTGAAGTTAGGCGCGAGAGAGGGAGCCGTTCGATCGTGTGGACTCGGTGCAAATTCGTTCGGTATGCAGAACGCGGCTGGCATAGGCAGAGCTTCCCGCTCGAGAAATACCAAACGACGAGCGACGGTATTAGGCTTCGTGACGTAGCCGCCTGCCACAGGTGTCTCCGTGTGTACGAGCGACGCGTTAACGCCACGGCTCGCTTCGCAGCTGCTTCTACGTCGAACGCGATACGTTAGATGGTAAGCGACGAATACCGACGGTTTCGGATCGCTCCGATACGTTCGACGTGCGGCGTTCCTCGATCGATTTTTCGACGGTGAACCGAGAAACCGTAGGTCGCTCGACGACCGCGTTCCACGCGTGCTCGTAAAGATAGCAAAACACCGTGGCCGGTGTCCCGATAGAAGAAACCGAACGTCGGCTCGATGGCACGCGAGCAAGAAAACGGTGGTATCGAAAAGTAAACAAGCCAAGGCGAGAAACGCGGGGAGGAGGACCGGCGGGGAAAACGTAAACTGCGATGGGTCGATGAATAGCTAAGATGGGGGATAGAGGCAACGAAGAAGAGGGATAGAACGGCGAGGATGGATTTATAGAGAGACAAGCAGACGTAAATATAGACTCGTGCATAGGTAGAGAAAAGATGGGTTGCCGGGGGAGGGAGCTAGCGGAGACGTGCAAAGGTGAGAGAGAAAGGTTGAAAAGAGACGGGCGCTGGCCACGATAAGGTGGTCAGCGGGGAGAGGGGAAGATCCCTTCGAACGCACGAACGACGAACGAAGGAAGAAACGATCAGGAGTGGGGTTAAAGTCGCGAACGAGGGGGGAATGGTAGGAAGAAGAAAGAGAGGTCCCGCGATATCGGCGAGAAGTCAAACCGGTGACTTTACCGTTATGCGACCCAATGACGAGACACCGACGGACGTCGTGTGGACGTCGCGACGTCGTTCGTTTTCCGCGTACGCGGACGTTTACGTATCGATAACAGTTAAAACGTGTTCGCGAAACGATATTCCGCTGAATAAGGAAACGTTGGACCAGCGTGGAACAGCGTGCGCGAGTATCGCGTCGTAGGTTCTCGCGTGAAATGGCGTCGTTGGAACGGCGGTGATACAGGGCAACAACTACGCGATGGGAAACGAGCGCGAGAAAATGCATATGGCGCGATGAAAAGAAAATGAGCGTCTAGCGACGAAATATATAGGCTTGTATATGCGGCGGGGTTCACGGGTTCTAACGAGGCCGTACGTTTCGGTGTGTTTCAGCAGCGGCACAGGGTCGCGTGGAGGAGACGGAGATGGACACGCACGAGGGGTCCACGGTGCAGCTGCAGTGTCGTTTCTCCCCACCGAGGGAAAACGTAACGTGTTTCTGGTTGACGCACACCAACGACAATCACGATAACGCGGCGATCGACAATCTCGCGTTATCGCCGCAGTACAAGGTGTTCATGAACCTGGAGGACGGTCGGTACGACCTTCAGATACGAAACGTTTCGTACGAAAGGGACAACGGAAAGTACGAGTGCCGAGTGAAGGCGAGCGGCACGGGACACGACCTACACCGGAAGTTCATCACTTTGACCGTACTGAGAGCGCCGGGACCGCCGACGATCTCGCCGACCTCCGCGTCCGCGACGGAGGGCCAGAAGCTGGAGTTGCAGTGCAACACGAACGGCGGCAGCCCCGAGCCGGAAGTGAGATGGTACCGCGGCAACGAAACCGCCATTCTTCACTCCGGCAGAACGTTGTCGGTGGAGCCGAAGAAGGAGGACGATAGAGCGACGTTCCGTTGCGTGGTGAGGAACCGAGCAATGCGCGAGGGTGAAACGTTGAACGCGACGGTAACCCTAGACGTGAACTACTTCCCGAGGGTAACAGTGGGCCCGGAGAATCCTCTGAAGGTGGAGGTAAACGGGACGGCGAATCTCGAGTGCCGGGTGGACTCGAAACCGGCCGTTGCCATGATACGATGGTGGCGGGACGGAAGTTTCGTCGCGACCAACTTTCAACACACCATACGGAAAGTAACCGTTCAGGACGCCGGCAAGTACACCTGCCAGGCGGACAACGGGCTGGGCAAGAGGGGCGAGAGCTCGCTCCTGTTGGACGTTCTTTATCCGCCGACCGTCTCGATAGAGGGCGATCCTTTGAGGATCGCCGAGGTCAAGGACACGGTGACCGTGCACTGCAACGTGACGGCGAATCCTCCGCCGTCCGTGATCGAGTGGTTGCGTGACGGTCGGCAGGATTTTCGACAGCTCGGCTCGATCCTTCGGTTGAGTCGCGTCACCGCCGATCACGCCGGAAATTATACCTGTCGGGCGATGAACACCATCCATCCCTCTGGCGGCGAGAGGAGGAACTACTCGGCCACTGCTCGGTTGACCGTTCGAGTGAGGTACAAACCGGGCCCGGCTAGGGTCATGCCGGACTCGCCGGTCGCCGTCGAGGGGTCCAGAGTTATCCTCACCTGTATGGCCAGTCCGCCTGGATACCCAGAACCCAGGTATAAATGGTGGAAAGAGGGAGAGTCTGGAACGATATCGATGCCTTCGGAGAACACCGGTCCGAGATACGAGATCGACTCGGTTCACTTGGGTAGCGAGGGAACGTACAAGTGCCATGCGACCAACGAGATCGGCAACGGAGAGGCCGCGTCCGTTAACCTGACGGTGAACCAGCCACCCAAGATACTTACCAAGTTGCAACCACACGTTACCAGGAAGTGAGTATCCGGTTTCCTTGGAATTTTCTATCTCTCGTTCTCGTTCTCGGCCGCGTTTTGTATTCGGGGTTATCATGAAGACGGACAAAAGTTCAGATGCTATCGGGGGGCCATTCGCCACGTTATACGCGGCCTGAAAATTGGGTCGGTCTACTTTAAGCCAGGATTAAGAGCTTACGGCTTAAAAGTCGCGGAAAAGTTGGAAACACCTTAGATACCGGCGGCTATATTAATTCACAAATAACCGAGAGACCGTAACCCGTCGTAGTATAAAATTTCGTACAGGGAGGAAACGCGGAATCGGCCATTCCCTTTTTCTCTTTGCAAGAAATTCATCTTCGTATATCTCGTGACGGGATCGCAATTATACGGGATATAACGAATAATAAAGAGTGGTCGACCAGAAACAGAATACTTAATTACCTTCTTTGCCGCTAAAAATACAGCGAAATTACCTTCCGCCCGGTCGCTACGCGAGATCGTTCAACCCTTCTCGCGAACGTTTCCCCTGTATTTTTAACGACATAGGGGACAATTAAATGTACCACGATCGCAATCCGACTTCCGGTGTAACCACGAGAATATCCCTATATGCTAGCTAAATTTTTTTTCCTCGCTCGTAACGAATCGAGAAGAGACTTTTGAGCGTCTCTCTTCCCCGTTACCTATAAGTCGTTGCCTATAAAGACCCACCGCCGTAAGTCTTAACGAGGAGTGCAAGCGGGAAATGTCGTTCACAGGGTCGGCGAGTCTTCGTTTCAAGTATCCTGCGTGGCGCAAGGCAAACCCCGACCGAACGTTCGATGGTTGAAGGACGATCAAGAGCTCACCGCGGACGAGAGGCTCTACAAGGTGACTATGACAGCCTCGGAGGGTCATGGGAACGCGATCACGGTGAATTCGACGCTGAGTTTCCTGGGCCATGCACGACCGCAGACGGACGAGATCGTGGCCAGCGATCGAGGCAAATACACCTGCGTGTTCGTGAACGAGGTGAAGAAGGTGGAATCGACGATGATGCTGAAGGTGGAACACGAGCCTATCGCCTTGCACCAGCACGGGAAAGTCGCGTACAATCTGAAAGAAACAGCCGAAGTGGCGTGCAAAGTCCAAGCCTGGCCCAAGCCCGAGTTTCAGTGGAGTTTCGACACCAATGCGGCCAGTTTGCAAGGATCCTCCAGCGACGGGCACTACGAAATTTCGACGAGCAGCGACAACTATGACGTGTACACCTCTGTGCTAAGGATAACCAACATTCGCGAGTTGGATTACGGAGATTACAGTTGCAGAGCGGCAAACGCTCAAGGTAGTATCACTTCGACGATCAGATTGCAACCGAAAGGGGCGCCGGAAAGACCCATTAACATCACAGCGATGGACGTCGGTCCAACTTACGTAGCTTTGCTCTGGGAGCTCGGTTTCGACGGAGGATTACCTATTACCAAGTATTTCGTCTCCCACAGAAGGGTACCCGGAGGCGACGAAATCGTGTCGCCAGATTGCGCCGTTCCTAGATCTCCGGCAGGACAGTGGTCGGAACTGAATTGCCATCGATCGAATCCGTGTAACGTGACCAATTTGGAGCAACATCAGACGTACACGTTTAAGGTTATGGTATACAACACGAAGAGCCATTCGGATTATTCCGACGAGGTAACCGCGACCACCGCGGTCGCGAAGATTCCGTCGCCGTTGAGGGTTAGCTACGACCCGGAAAGCGGAATGCTCGCCATCAGCGTTGGCGCCACTTGCCTCTCGTTGGTCGCTTCGATCGAGAAATTCGACGGGCCATCTTCTTCCACGGACGAGTCGCAGTGGAGGATTCTCGACGAGTGGCCCCTCGAAGTGCTTGGAAGCGCCCCTACACAGAGGGAGGGAGTCCTGGATGACCCGGAGGCTCTCGATAGCGAACCCAGACTTAGGGTTAGACTGTGTCTGAAAGCGGATCGACAAAAATGCGGCGAATACGCGGAGGCTGAAAGTGAGTATCTCCGTTCCTTTCCGCTGATTGCAATTCCCCATCGTGGTCGGGTTTTTCTATTTTCCGAAACGTTGAACGATTTTCCTTTTGCTTATAGTCGGCCCGTCCTACATAGCCCATGCCGGAGCCATGGCGACGCCAACCTTGATCGTCTTGGTAGTCACCGTTGTCGTGTTCCTGATGTTCACCACGTTGTTGTTGCTCTTTTGTCGGTGTCGACGAAAACACGCCACCAAGGCCAAGGACTACGAGATGGACTCGAACGCGTAAGTGTGTTTGTGAACCGTTGAACGGGTTCGAGGAGCGGTCCCGTCCGCGCCTGATCCTCGAATGGGATTTCGATGTTGTTTACTCGCGCAGGGTTCGACCGAGTCTCGTAGCCGGAAACGGACAACAGAGCCAAGCACCGCCACCCTACTACGCGGAGAACAAAGCTCTGGAACACAGTCTGGATCACGCGCTGGCCATGGAGGATTCCAAGACCCCGGCGTACTCGCAGCCTGGATACGGGTACCATCAACCGAACCACAACATCAATGGTAAAAAAGCTTTTTACGACGTTAACGTTGGTCGTAGTAATTTTGAGAAACGAGGGGAAGTTGGTCCGGGACAAGTCTCTCTCGTATCTCGTTCGGTTGCGAGTGGAAAAAATGCGGCATAAAGTAGAGCGGTTTAACGAGGTCTAGCTTCCTATGACCGTACTTTATCCGTAACTCTAACGATCCCACCGTTGCGACGTGCAATTGCAATTTGGTGTTTCTTTCTCGCAGTTGCGATGCCCTACTATTCGTGTACGGACTAGATAATTCGCGCGACCAAGAAATTATCCCGACGGTGCAAAACTAACGGTCCTTTCTTTCCTTCGAAATTCTCCTCGGTTTCTTCTTTCTTCCGCCACTCGTTTTGACTTTCAAATGTTCCAGCAACGTCTCAGCCGCGGAGACGTTCGCTTCTCTCGTTCCTCGAGTATTCGAAAACAACCGTTAGTTCCACGCCGAGCCAACAATTACCGCGGCCATCGTAAACAAGGCGACTTTCTTACACTCTGCGCGGCTAATAAATGCTAATCGACTCATTCACGTTCCGACAGGCGTCAACATGGGTTATATGGATAACAGCTACTCGAACTCGAATAACGGAGGCTCGGTGAACTCGCAAGACTCTATCTGGCAGATGAAGTCGGCGGCCGCGAACGGTGTTGGCCAGCCTTACGACCTGGCCGGCTACGCAACCACCGAGTCGGATTACCCGACCCACCCTCATTACCTCCCACAGAGGGAGGATTACCGGGAGAGCCATAATCTAAGTCGACAGCAGTTTTGCTCGGAACCATTCGCCACCGTCGTAAAGTCTCAAAAACACGTCGGTGAGTAGTAGTATTCTTCAGTCGAACTCTCCCGTTTCCGCCACGATCGTTCTCCTCCCTGTTCCCCGCTCTATCGCCATTTCCGCGACCCTTTCCACCCTTTCCCACCTTTCATCCACCCTATCTCCACCCTCCGCCGACGCTCCACCATCGACCCACCACCACGTCCAGCGATGAGCATTCAATTCTATCTGTCGCAAGTTCTCGAGCAATTTAGTTATACGGAAAGTTCGAATCGCCTGGCGAGCGTTATTCGAATCGAAAAATGTTTCAAGGTGTTTTCGACAGTCCTGACAGGCTTAATAGCTGATCGTTCCAAGTTAGCCGAGTTCTAGGAACGCTTCGGCAGTCTCGCGAGTTTCCGGATATTAGAATTCTGCCCGTTGGCGATCGCCGATTTTATTTCTCTTTCGTTAACGGACGTTGTCTTACGGCGTGTTTATACAGCCACCTAGCGAATTGGGAGGATTTTAGGTGAAACGGGCCGGGAGCTTCGAGACGCGTGCCGCGCGTTCTAATACCGGGGAACGATCACAATTTTTTCAATGAAGACGCTCCCGAATTACCCTTAAACACCGGCGGAACAGTCCTCGTTTTCCAGGTAAAAAAAAAGCAGCTAGGACAGAGGGAGAAAACTCGAGATCCTGGGAATTCCCCAGAGCTTTTATCGTTAAACTCCATACGTAGCGGCTCGGGGCCATCGCGAATCCACCGCATTCTGTTCATGCCGCTCTTGTTCTCCGCGCACGTACATCGCCGCCACGGCGTTCTTTTGTTTTACCATTCTCTACAACCCCTTGCCTCTTGTTTGTCCGACAGATTCGCCGTACGACGTGTCCGGTCTACCTTATCAGGAGAACTACGACGAGGACGCGAAACCACCTCAGCAGGTCAGCCTGTCGTACGACGAGAGCCTCGAGTCGGGCTACTCTACCCCGAACAGCCGGGGACGGAGGATCATTCGCGAGATAATCGTTTGAGATCTGCCTACCGGCTCGCGAGCCGGAAGCACCCGTACCACATGGCTATAGCAGGAGGCCGCCCCCACCGGTGCTTCTTATCATCCGGTGGAACATCCGCGCGATCCTCTCCGCCATAGGATGGAGATAGTGATCGAGAACCCCGTGGAATCACCGCCACCGCCGCCTCCATCATCACCGCCCCCATTGCAGCCGTTGACGATACCTACCTGGAACACGATCGTCACGGCTGCTCCACCGACCACATTTTCGTCGTCCAGCGTCGCCGCGACGAGCACCGCGATGCCGCCAACAACGACCGTGATGACGATAACCATCGCCGAAAATCCCACCGTAACTCCGACCTATCCACCGCCCGTACGATTTTCCTACCGAGAAACGTACGCAGCCAATTCGCTTCTGTTCGCCGGTGATCCGTACGCCGTGCGACGAGCCCAGTCTCGAGGGAGGCCGTACGACGATCCCGACGGTGCGTCACCAACGGTTCGACGCATCGACAAGTCCGGATTGTTGGGTATCACCGAACCGGAGATGCCTAACTTGCGAACCGGTTTGAGATCGCCGAGATACATCCCCGGTATGAACACCGTTGCCTCTGGCATGCTGTCGCCTCGACGATTGGAGTTTATCGGGCAATTGGATCCGGTGCCAGAGGTGCCGGGACTACCTAGCAACCGTGTAAGCATGGCGCAGGGTACACCTAACGCGTCCACCAACAACGTTCCCCTGATTATGGCGTCGATGATCGGACAGGATAATAGGAGAGACGCATCTCGACTAGATCCTTGCGAGACGTTGTCCGTCGTTAACCTGGCAAGGCCAACCAAGTCAGCCTCTTTCGACTCGCTGGAACCGCGCCACAGAATCGACTGCCAGGACGCTGGAACGACGTTGCAGACCTTCGAGCGCGATCTCGATGGAATCGAGTCCACGGATCTGGATGTCTCCGGTGGTTACGCCTCGTCGTTTCAATTGCACGAGAATTGCGACGCGAGAGCACGAACTTTGGGACGTTTGTCGAGGCTCGCTTTAGCCAGGAACGATCGCGATGCAGCGATGGAGAATGTCGCCAGATATTCCGAGACCTGCTGCAATTTCCCGTTCACGGTTCGAGCTGCGACGTCTTATCCGGTCTTCGAGGGAACTTCGAGTCTTCCGTCGACCAGAGTCACCACGACTACCGTAACCACGTCGACCCCCACCGTCGCGGTGTCCTCGATGCGGGAAACGGAGGTTAATGGGAAACAGGACGGCGTGGAGGGTTTCAATAATCGCGTGCCGGAAGAGAGAGCGGAAGCGGAGGGCTGCGAGCACGGGCCGACGAGGAATCCGCTGAAAGACGGGGAGTCCCCGCAGAGGGCCGACGAATTCGCGGACAACGACGGGATCCAAACGCTCCGAGTGATCATTTTGTCGGAACAATTATGAAAACTAGAGGGCAGCTGATCGTTTAAACAAAAGGGAGAGAGCAAAATTCGTTTCTCGCCGACCGATATATCGTTCGATGTGTATTATATTTAAGTAAGTAGTATGTAAGTAAGCCGCGACGAAGATGGACGATCGAGTCTTGAGAGAAAAAAATCTCGCATAAAGGCTGACGCGATGCCATAAGAGGCCATACACCTTTCGAGAAGCAAAGAGGGAAAGAAGAAGGAAAGAAAGAAGGAAAGAAAGCAAGAAAGAAAGAAAGAAAGAAAGAAAGAAAGAAAAGAAAACGCGCTCGACGCATGTAACTCGTACGTGTAATGTCGGGGCTCGAACGTGTCACGGTGTTCTCGCGGAAGAACACGTCTGCACGTTCGGGTTGCGACGTGTTTACGCATTTTGTACTTTTATATAGTGGACGATGCCGCTGACTCGAGCGACGATCCCCGCGATTCCCGAAATCGGGAATGTTTTCTGTACATGTACCATAACTCGACTGCGCCATGACGCGCTTAGTAACTTAAGCAATAAGTCTGACGTTCGACAGTGACGCGAGTGGTGCGCGCGCGTTTTGAAAGTCGAGAATCATGATGTTTTCGATGGGAAAAACGCTCGATCGACATCGCCTGGCTGGAATTTTCGAGCGTTCGTCTGTTGTAAATAACGGTAAACGTATCAGTACTTAACGAAGTGGGACACGGTCGTGGACAGGGCCCGAGGGATTCCAAGAGAATTTCAAGAGCCTCGTTCTCCTTTCGTTCTGTAACGTTTGTACGATGAACGAGAACGAGGGGAGAAGGACGATTAAGCGAAGAGAAAGTGGAATACTCGGAGGCCCCGTTACGTTCAGTGTCTTACGTTAGACGACCGCGATGGAATACGCGGTTTCAGCCCGAACTAACGATAGCTACGCTTTTAACGTTGAAAGAATATTTCTTGGCTCGCGCATCTACCGTGCGTCCCTTTAGTTTTGTAGTATTAACGCGGCGCGTTTAGAAAACTCGCGTACGTAGCGACCTTCGTTGAAGTTCTTATTTTTGTACCGCTCTTGCGAACGCCGCCGACGTTCGTCGAATATCGTGTTTCAATTCGTGTTCTAGTACTCGTGTCAAATATACGCGCGCTATTAGGGAGACTGCAGATATAGAGATAGAGAAAGGGAGAAAAGGAGGAAAAGGAGGAAGAAAAAGGACCAGCCGGATCGTACGCGTTCGTTCCTTTCGACTTGTGATCTCATTTCTTCGCCGAGATACGAAGATGATTTCTTTTTTATCGTTCGGGAGAACGGGCGAACGTTTTTATCGACCGCGGGACGGTGTTTTCTTTATTCGTCATTGCAATCTTTTTTTTTTCTTTTTTCTTTTTTTTCTTTTATTCATTTTTCTTCGTTACACTTTGTTCCGATTACGCACTCGATTTTTTTTTAGATAACGTCTACCAAATTTTATCCGCTTTTTTTAAGTCGTGAACGGACGAAAAGATACGTCTCGAAGTAGATTCTTGACCGTTCTTCGAAACATCGACCAGGTACATCGTCTCCGGAAGCGATGGGAAATCACCGTTCTTCCGCTTCTCAACGACAAATCGATCGATCGACCGACCGACCAACCGACCAAATATTATACCATTCCAGAAATGGAAGAGTATTGCGAGAAGTCTCGCGTTCAACGCGTATTTTTCGCATCATCGAACAGGTCCCTGCCGTACCGAACGTCGGTTGGAGCGATTGTTACGCGTGCGAGCACGTGGTATGCGCGCGCTGACAAGGCGCTCGAAGCGTCGCATGGCGCATGCAGCACGCTCGTACGCGTGTCGCGTGCAAATTTGAAATTGATATATATCGATCGACACATATACATATATATCAATTATCGTCCATTATAGTTACGATATTATTACGAATTATTATTTGTACAAATTTTATGTTGCGATATAAAATAAACGATAAAACGACACACGGCGATACCTCTTAACATCCACCATCACCAACCGAGCAATCGAACCTACCTCGTATAACGATACCAACAGAAGAACAAAGGTTTCAGAAAGTCAACTCTCGATTAGTATCGAGTATATAAACGAACACACATCGATAATCCTTCGAGAATACCTCGCGTCCCGCATCGCTCATCTGGATTGCACGGACTTGCGCATTTCGTACGCCTATGTAAAACAGTTCCGGTGTGTTTATACCGGATCAGCCTGTCGTTGTTACGCGAGCAGGCTGTACGGTTCTTTCGCATCGAACGTAAGTCTATCCTATTACAGATGTGATAATTTCACGGTGAACGACCTCGGACCACTCGTATCTTCCTGCATGTTCGCAAATCGCGTGTTTATCGGATTTTAACGCAATTTCTACGTTGGAACGTTGTGAATACGAACGTGCACCGGACGGATTCGATTTCTACTTATTCGATGGAAGTGTGTCGCGCATACGAATCGAGCCTTTACGAAAGAGACGACGGAAAATACGGAATTTTTCGCGGAAATAGTTCGAAGTTGTCCAGCATCGAGGAGGTCTCCATTAGAGTTTCACCCATCGTGTTAACCAACAAAGAATCGATAGTTCGTCGAGATAGAAAACCGTGCCAAGTGACACCGCCGTTGCCACTCGTAATGTTCGAGCATAAGACAATTCAACGGGAATCGTGGTTATCGAAAAGATTGTGACAAGCGTCATTCATCGTCCCGTGAGAGACAGCGTGGCGCCATTTCAGCCACTAACTACGTAAACACGCGATCCGTCTGTGACGTTCATTTACGAAACGCTATCGATACTCGCACCGGCTCGACCTTGAACGATAGATGCAATATCCCGGACCAATCAGACGCTTTTCCCGTCTAGGTAAGACGCTGCTCAAAGATCCAATAATACTCTATCCTCTCTTAACCGACGCTCGTATACGCAACTCTGACGAACCCCTCTTATCTATCCGTGTCAACGGCAACAGCAATAGAGATCGGCCGACGAATAATCGCCGACTTGGAACACGCAGTTGGACTCAAAATTAGGTAGCATCGTTAACGAGACGGTAAACCAGAGGATGATCGAATTGACTGCCAATGAGTAACCTCGAGTCCCTTACCTCTCTCTCAGATCCCTTTCAATCGAACACTACTATACAATACCGACGTTTCCCGCAGGCGACCCTGATCTTGGCATCTTTCCCAATGAGCACCGGCCGAGCGGATCCCCTCGGCTGTTCCCACGCCACGGCTGCACGGAACGGCGTGCACCGGCACGCGTGAACGCGTGTCCGCTGTGGAGGAGACCGGCGACTGCCGCGAAGGAAGCAGAGGACTCGTCGTATCGACCGAGGACGGGATGGAAGCGAGGACATACGAGGGCGCAGCCGCAGCCTCGCCACGGTTAACCAGGCCAAAGCTGCGCGACATCGCCCGCCTCTGTATCAACACGGTAAGAGCGTTCTATGCCAGGGACGTTGGCGCTGCGTTCACCACCACCGCAGCCACAGCCGCTAAATCAGCCACCACCTCCTCGTGCCGTGGGGCAGACCGTCTCGCGGCAAAGGAAGCGTCGCCGCTCGGGCCTGTTATGGGCAATTTGCAGAGCGACGCGAAGAAAAAGGTGAAGAAGAGCAAAGGGGCTGCAGATGGGACCGCGAGCACGCCAGGATCCATTGCCGATGGACTCGACGATACCACCGACACCGGCGACGATGGCGAAACGGGGGATGCGGAGGAGACACCTGCTAGGAAGGTGGAGGAGTGTCAGAGAACTGGGACGGAGAAGCGACCGCCTCATAAGAGGCAGGCTCCGAGACCACCTGGGTCTGCGGAGAGAAAGGTCAGTTTAAGGGATGAGTTCAATGGGGGAACCCGTTTCTATGGTAATTTATTTCTGGCCAGTATGTTGATCCGTGTGCTTTCAGCGTGGGTGATGGGACCACGATCGTGTAAGAGACTCCACCCCTGCTTGGTGTATAGGGTTAAATAACTAGGATTCTCGTTGTTTGGAAACAGTTGCAATTTTTCTGGGTCAGTTGGTCGATCGAGAAGTTTATGGTAGTGGTGTGAAATTGCACGAAGGGCATACGCTGGTTGGGGTGTTTTGCGGTAGTTGAGAAGTTAGCTGCAGCACTGGCGCCACGTCGGTGCCGTTCAAACGCAGCACGCGTTTCGATCACACGCGTTCTTCCTGCTTATACTCGAAACGAATCGAGATATGAAATCAGATACGAAGCTAATTGACTCGAGATACGAGATCGGGTTTTTAAACACCGGACAACCGGTCTGATCATGTTGACAATACTTAGCTCTCTCTTAACCTCGGCAGTTAAATGGTTTGCGATTGTAAACGACGTGATACGGAAAGACGTACGATTTCGAGATTAAAACGAAGCCGAGTAAAAAGAACGTCTACTACTTTCTCTTCTCACTTCAAACAGGTCAGCCCGAACAAGCCAGAATCTGTAGAAAAGAAATCCCAAGGACAGGGAAAACTGGAGAAGGAGGATGTATCGCGGAAATCGATAGAAGCGGTCGAGTCGACGGAGCCGAGGACTAGAGAAGGGTCATCGGACACGTTGTTGTTACTGGCGCCAAACCAGAGCCAGAACCAAGAGACCACGCTACTGGTCACGGACTCGTGGCGGTTAGCCAACAAGTGCATGGTCGTGACTGAGATCTCGATGCCGCCTAGCCAAGAATCCTCCAGCGACAGCGTGTTCACCGATCCCGAGGAATTAACCGGCGCCACGAACGTCGCGAAAGAGGAAGCGCCCCCGGCGCCATCACCGCTTACGACGCTC